GATCCATCCCACATCGAGAGACATTTGTCGACATTAAGACTCATGCCATTAGACTGAAACCACTCAGAGGCAGATTGAAGATCAGCCTGCATTGAATGTTGAATTGTGACAGGATCTCGGCCACGAGTAAAAAGTTGTGTATCATCAGCAGAAGTGTTGATTTCAGAACTGCGTGAGATGTACACAAGGTCGTTTATAAAAATGTTAAATAGTAGTGGTCCAAGTACAGACCCTTGTGGAACACCTTTATTAATCCTTGTCCAGTCGGAAAACGTATCCCCAATTTTGACTCTCTGAAATCGTTCGGTCAGATAGCTTCTTAACAGTAGTCAGCTATCGTTAGATAAAGCATAAGACTTAAGCGTGGCTAATAGGAGTTCGTGTGGAAGACAATCAAAAGCCTTTGTCAAGTCAATACCCACAATGGCAGCGATGAACTTGTTGTCACAAGCAATTCTCAATTCCTCCAAAATAGGCAGCAGGGCAGTCTGACAACTGTAATTCCGACGGTAAGCGCACAGATATGGCGATAATTTATCCTCAAAAAATTTTCAGAGTTGTTGTGATAGAATACGCTCCATAATGTTGTTAAACACGCTATGGAATAGTTTAATTAATTGAACTTTAGAATAAAAGGTTAAAGTGGTCCAATTCGAGTGTCGGTATACTTCGTCAGTAAGCATATCGCGAGGTAAGTTATATATTATTCTAGCTGCCCTTCGGTGAAGTATTTCCAAAGATCGCAGAAGGTCCGCATTTGGACAGCCGCCTCAAACGACTACTCCATATAGAACGGATGGCAATGTCATCTTAAAGTAAAAGTCCAATAGGGCGTTTCGGCTCAAAAACGAACTCCTTTTCAAAAGGTTCAGTTTGCTAACAAAGTTCTTTTTTTACATCTGTGAGATGGTGTACCCAGGAAAGCATGTCGTCGGAACTAATGCCTAAAAGATGAGTATGTTTTACCCACTCGATTCGTCCCTCTCCAATAGTCACAGAAATTAGCGGCCCGATGTGCTACTTTCTCATCAAAAGCATGGCTTCGTACTTAGCCGAGTGAGGGGTTAAAGAGTTCTCCAGGCACCAGCTGTTCAGTTCAGATAAAGCTCTATTTAAAGAAGTGACAGTGTTATCGACAGTGTCTCCAATGCAATAAACGGTGGTGTCATCCGCGTACAAAAAGATAGAGCCGGAGGTGATAGCACTTGGAAGGTCATTGGTGTACAAAGCGAACAACGTGGGGCTCAGAACTGACCCTTGGGGAATCCCGCAGGTAACGTTTAGCACAGTTGAGTGGTGGCCATTTACTACCGAAAATTGAGTTCTGTCGGTTAGATAGGCAGTCAGCCATGATAGTAGGGAACCTTGACTCCGAATTGAGAATTCAACTTATGCAGTAGGATAGCGTGAGATACAAAGTCAAAAGCTTTTTTAAGTCAACAAACGCCACAGCAACCACTTTGTTGGCATCTGTTGCTGTTCTCCAGATTTCCGCGAGATGTACCAGGAATAGTTCAGTAGAGTCTCCCTCGCGGTAGGCCCACTGTTTATCTGTGACCAGATTATTTTGGTTAAACATGTCGAACTACTGTATCAGAGACACAAGATTCCATAATCTTGCTAGGAACACTCAGAAGCGATTACAGCGGTTTCAGCCATGGCGGTAGGACATGTCTTGACTTTCTTAATAATTTTGTTAAGTTTGTTGCTCCTATCTTTGTACTCCGCTAATTCAGACTCTCCTAAGCACTTTCGGAATGCTGAAGCGGGCCTTGGGGACAATATTCTTCTGATTTTTAACATCTTGCTGCAAAAATTTAAACCGAGATTGCTGGCAGACCTGACACGAGTCGACGGCCATTCTTTTTCTGGACATCGTAAGAGATTTCTGAAGTCAAGAGTGGCGTATTCTGAGAACTGTACAGCTTCTTTCAACCCGACGGACGTTTTCATAGTCCGAAGCGGAGATGTTCATCCCCCATCGGGACCCAACAGGCAAACTAATTCGGCCATGCATAAGATACCGAGGGAATTGAGGTCAAACATCAAAGTTGCTCACCTAAACGTCCGCTCCTTGAAATCTAGGGTACATTTCTGCCTTGTTAAAGACACGATTCTATTAAACAAGTTTGATATCTTCACGATATCTGAAACGTGGACAGATTTAACTGTGAGCGATGCAAGTCTTGAGATCTCTGGCTACCAATTGTTCAGACAGGATCGCGGAACATACAAAAATGGAGGTGGTTTATGCATCTATGCTAAGTTAAACCTCAAAATTACTGTCCTGGATGACCTATCATTGGCTTGTGAGGATGGTTTTCAACAGCTTAGGCGAAGAGTACAGTGCAGAAGTAATAAGTCATTTTTAGTTTGTAATACTTGTCGACCTCCAGACACACCTACTAGCTGCTTCGAAAATCTTGCTAAGTGCTTTGTTGACGCATTACTTATGGGCTTGGACATTATTATACTTGGAGACCTAAACTGCAACCTACTGGCCTCTACCCCCCGAGACTAAATCATTGCGGGAATTCATCTCAACTTTCAACTTAAATCAGCTGGTTGAGAAACCTACAAGAATTACTGAGACCACTATATCCCTAATTGACGTCATTATGACTACAAATAAGAACATTGTAAGTCTCTTTGACTTCCTCTCCTGCTCTATAAGTGACCATCATCTTATCTACCTCGTCTTAACTCTTAAAACTCCTAGACTTAAAGGAGCACTCTGATGAAACCGCCCTATAATTTGAAAACCCGAAAAATTCAGTTATTTCATTATAATATG